ACGGTATAAAGGAAAGTTACATTGAAATTTTTTCTTTCTTTCTCCTTTCAAATACGTACACGATGTTTTGATTATGAGAAATTAAAGAAATAAATTATGTATAAAAATTTTATTGCCATTTAGGTACAATTAGATATTTCAAAATATAAAAATATAGAAAATTTAATGTAATTTGAATTAATGTATGTTACATCAATTTAAAGTTTCATAAAAATGACTATATAAATGTTTCGTTAATATTTTCATTACAAAGTGATTAAGAATGGTTCAAAGAAATGTAAGAGTGAAAATCTTGTAACAAGTGAGTCATACGACGAAAATTTTCGGAACGATGAACTCGTGTCAAAGGAACATCAATTAATTGATCTTAATTGAAATTCTACTCGAGTAGGCAATTCCAAGCTTGTTTCTGAAATTAATCATTTCCGCTCTTCTCCCTACTGTATCCTCGCGTGCCCCATTGACACGCGTCTTTATGCACCGCAATTGATTCGACCGAAGGAATTGTATGTTACAAGAATTCTTGTGAAAATTACACACCGATTATGTTAATACGAAAATTTCCATACTTACACAAAATATCGTGTACCAGGAATAACGTGTACTGTTATCTACTTTTCTTTAACATATTTATTTTATTGAAAATTCTTTAGATTTTTGTTGATAACAATCCACGCGTCGTAGGTCGCCCATGCAATTCTTACAAACAATTCTGCAAAAGTATTGTTCTAACCGTGCGAATCATCTGACCCACCCACATTACGATACGATTTAACGAGCCGTCGTGTAACGGTCGCTTAACGATGATTCAGAGACTGGTCAAATGGTGCTTGAACCTTTCTCTTCTTTTTCTTTTCCTCTCTTCTCTTTTACTACTTCTCTCAATAATCCTTTTCTCGATAGCTCTCTTTTCATTTCTCTCTTTTATACTATCAGCCTTGCTCCATAGAACGTTCTCATTATATTGTTTATTTATTTATATAGTCGGTAATAAATTGAATAAAAAGGAGAAAAAATAGGAACTGTGCTTCCCTCTTTCAGTATTTTCCGGCTTAAACCCTTCAAAGATAGCAAATGATAGCAGTCACCCCCATAGGGATGACGTGGCAATCAGCATCTTAATTAATGATTAAGGTGACCATATTTTTCTCCTGGAAATGTAATATACGAAATGAAAGTTGAATTTGAAAATGATTAGAATTATTAAAATATTTTTTACATTATAGCTTTAATATTGACAGGGTCAAATTTGCCCATACCATGGTACCATGATCAATGGAGTCTGTCGAAAAATTATAGAATTTAAAGTACGAGCCAATATTTTCCTTGTTATTTTCATGAAAATCGTAATGTACGAAGAGCATCGGAGCGGAACGACTGGTTGGTTGCTCGGAGATGGTTGCGCACGAGTTATCGAGAGAGAATCGGAGCCTAGAATCGATTTTCCGTATCGCGTGGTGTGTTACAGCGACCTTCCGGCATCGCGAAGTTCATCGGGTACAGTGACCTCCGGAATACGTTCAGCTCACAGCCGGTGCTCTCCGCGTCGTAACAGCGTCGCTCGTAAACCGTTCCACGGTTCAAACGAGCGCCACTTCCGGAAAGACGTGCTCTCGCGAGCGATATATCGGCGTCATGCTCGCGCGAGTTCGACGACGCGGAAAGCATGCACCCGGACTCGGAGATCTTATCTTCGACAGTTCTCACGGTTAAGAAATCTTTACAGCTTACCGACCAGTCATTTTCAAATTCCTCGAACGTTCTATATTAACCCTCGAAGGCTATCACGGGTGAAATTTCACCTTAAGCTAATTTGATTTTACAGGACTATTAAAAGAAATTAAGAAAATTATTTAGATATTTGTTTAGAGTAGCACGAGTGATACTGTGTTATCAGAAAATTAATAATTCTAGGGATGAATTGCCAAATAATTATTTCAAGTTTTTTGCTGAAAATACACAAATATTTCGCAATTAATATGAAAATAATTAATTACTTCTTAATAATGATTAAAAATTAATCAATGTAACAGAATTTGGAAAATAATCTCGGCGAGTATTTTATTTATTGGAAGTGAAATAAATGTGAAACAAAGTCGAGCAGCGTAATATACGCGGTGATATTTTTTGATCACCCTGTAAACGAGAAATACGCATTGCCGTGTTGCGTCGAAGGACGATGCACCGGCAGTTACCGTCCTCCAGGGGCGGTTACTCCTTCCTCGACAGTTCCACCACCATCGGTGACGGACTCGACCCTCGTCGGAATACAGCTCGAAGGGTTGGGGTGGTCGATGCAGTGTTTCCATAGAAACCAGACGCGCCGTCCGCCACCCCTTCCTACAGTGCATTCAACCGACGACGGTTGCAGTCTTCCCTCGAAAACATATCGTTCCCGGCAACTATAATCATCGATAAAAATTGATGATCTGTCTCTCTCTTTATGTCAAACATAGTTCTAAAAATTCTCCTGGCTAATGAAATTTATTCTGGAAAAAGTGAAATCATCCCTTAAAGTTTGCCAAATTTTTCATTTATCTATTTGATTAAGAAGGATAATACTGTTTAACATAAAGTTAAGTCAATCATTCAAATGCTTCATACTAATCTTTACAGTTCGTTTAAATCCTGTAATTGAATCGTTACGAGGGTCATCGATGACCTACACTTCATGCAATTGAATAATTAACCTTTGCAGTCGAAGAGTCTTTGATCGAAAATTAATTAGCACACATTTAATTAATTTCCACTGTTACAGAATTTGTAACATTTATTCAATTTAAATGATTTTCTGCAATTTAGTGAAATATAACGAGACTGGTCTAATATGTGGTAATTTAATAAAATTAATTAGGTCATTGCATAACAAATGATAGATTTCGAAGCTTAGAAATTTAATGACATAAAAGTATCAATAAAAAGGTACCTATGGCATATCAATTAGAAGCCTGAAATATAATAAAAATGATGCAGGTATTGGCAAAAGGTTTATGCAGTCATTTTCATAAAACCTTAAGCTTCCAATCGATATTCCATAAGTGCCATTTTACGCTATATACTTTTATATACAACCACCTAATATGAATCATTTTGTCTCCTCCCACAATTTTTTCGATGCAGTTAGCCGTGATTGGTTGGCATACAAAGGTGACCTGGCAAGGAACGACAAGATTTATGAATCGCCCTTGAGTTTTTTCTTTTCTTTTTTTTTAGAGGATCCGGTCTTCTAGCTGGTAGGATTAATGTTGTTACCGTGCATATAAGCACTGGTTTGTACCTTTATAAAAACCTTCGAGGTAGGATGCAAGACTATTTTCTTGGTTATAAGGAACAGGGAATAAATTCTTTCAAAAAATTACCATCCTTGTGTAATAAATTATAAAATAAATTTGCAATTCGTCATTTTATTGACCCAACGAAGGGTTAATCGAACGTCGTTAAATTATAAAAATAGAAGCAATTGTTAAATTGACGGTAAAGAAGGTAGTCATCGTTGACGAGTAAGGGATTTTCCCCTTACTTTGCGGACCGATTCGAGACCTTTCTCGTCCAAGGTCGTAGTTCGTAGCGGATGTGCTATAGGTATACTCTTTTCGTCTCTGTCCCCTCTTTCGTTTTCAAGTTGGCAGGCTGTGGACGAGGAACGTAGTGGGGAGGAACAGCGTGACCCCTGAACGACGTTCATCGATCGGGGTGCACGCACTCTACCTTCGGCACCGCGTTCTTCTGTCTCCACTTCCCACTCTTCTTCTTCGTCTCTCCCGAGTCTCTCCCACCACTTCCTCGCTCCTCTCTCTCTCTCTCTTCTTCTCTTCGTCTTCTCCCTGTTGTTACCCTGCCACTTCCTCTCGTTCCCATAACAATTTCTCATCGTTATTCCCTTCAAATCTTTTGCATTCTCGGATATCAACATGATTTTATTAGAAATTATGTTTCCCCAAAAATATTTGTATCCTAACTCTTTGCACTTGGTCGCTGTTATCAGAAAATTTAAAAATTCTAATCCATTTCAATATCCTCAAATGGTGCATCATATGATATTCGCCATGTTAAATGTAAGGTAGCTTCCTTGCGGCCTCGAACCCGCAAGTCCTTAGAAGCATTCACCTTTTATCTCGGGGCTCGATCGAAATTCCTACACGAAGGTATATACCGCGTACCAAAGAGAAGAGTAACTTAGCCTGACTTCAAGAACGTTTCCTAGACTGATAAGACTCTCCTTATTCTACCCTTACAGTTATTCTCTTTTCTCCTTTATTATTCGCTTTCCTATGTTTTCTTCTATCCTTCGTTCTGTTGCATATCTTTGTTCTTCATCATGCGGTTTTAGTGAATATTTAGAAAAACAAACCTTCTGTTGCTTAGTGGTAAAGGAATACGATACTTAGGTACCAATAATTGTCAATTATTTTTTTCACGTAACGAAAAGATTCATAACTTCGGTATTAGTGACCTTGGAATCACAAGATGGCAGTATTTTTTCTGTCTGGTAGTTGATTCTTTATCCTCCTTCCTCTATCCGTGTCCATCTGCTGGCGAACCCTCAGATGAAACACTACCGTCCAATCGAGACGATTTAATTAGAGGGATCACTTCCTTTCGTCGTGAATTGTCCATGAGCACTGAAAGAGAAGGTCATGCTAGTCCCGCGTGGGTGTTAAGTCGTAAGGACAGTTCTACGTTAACATGAAAACAGTTTCCGGCATGTATCACTGTGGGCGAAGTGTTAGCGTGTAACAGACGGCCACACCGATCATTGTTGCTCCAAGTGTCGTTCCTGACTATCGTTCAGGAGAAATAGGATGTTAAACTTTTGTCCGCTTTAAACGAATTTCCATTTCAATGCATTTCAATTATACGGTCAACTGCGATCCATTCGACGATATCTGATTTTGAAAAAGAAACTTGCGCATCCGTTATTATATTTATCGTGTAAAGAAAAAGTAAGTAACGTATCCACGGAGAGCAGTTACTAAGAGTAGTTGTCTTTTTGTTAACAGGGATGCCGGTTGACTGAAGATGGCCTCGCCGACACTCTCGCTGGAATCGCGCGCGAATTCCATCGGATCCCTGGCCTCGCTGTCCCCGGTTACAGTGAGCGGCAGTTCTCCGCCTGCGAGCGACTCGGCGATCTGCGACGTCGACAGCTGCGATCTTTGCCTCGATTCACAGAAACCTGGAGAGGCGCCCTGCCCACGGTGCCGATTAGGAAGCGCCGGCGGCGTACGCTGCACCGGCTGCAAATCCACCGAATCCGACGCTGTAGCACGTTGTTTCGATTGCGCGAACTTTCTCTGTCCTAACTGCGTAATGGCACATCAATTCATGCACTGTTTCGAGGGCCATCGGGTCCTCAATTTGGGGGATTCGAAGCTGGAGACGGTCACCAGTTCAACCAGCAACAACGAGATCCCGAAGAACAACTTGGTGGTTAACGGTGGCGGCAACAACGGCGAGAAAGTCCTTTTCTGTTCTCGTCACAAACAAGAACTACTGAAATACTTTTGTCGCACTTGTACCGTACTAGTCTGCAAGGAGTGCACCATTACCGATCATCCAGGCCCGTTGCACGATTGCGCGCACATATCCGAGGTAGGCAACCAGCAGCTCGAAGCGATGGCAAGAGTGGTCCAAGAGTGCAGAGCCAAAGCGGCGGATGTTAGAGCCGCAGTGAAGGCGGCCGATCACGGGGCCGCACGGCTGCAAGTGCAATATCACAAAGCGCAGAACGAAATCAACGACACGTTCCAGTTTTACAGATCGATGCTCGAAGAGCGCAAGCAAGAATTGTTGAAAGAGCTCGAATCGGTATTCTCTACTAAACAAATATCATTGGGCGTGCTTACGCAAAAGGCAAACGACATGGCCGATAAGATGCTTCAGACATGTGAATGCGTTGAGCGACTGACCAAATACACAACTGTCACCGAAGTACTAATGGTTAAAAAGCTTCTCGACTCAAAGCTTCAGTTACTGTTGAATTACACACCGGATATCGCCAATCAAACCGTCGACCTTGAGTTTGTCAGTAATTATCAAGCTATTCAAGTAGGCGTGCGAAACACGTTCGGCTATGTTCGAAGCAACAACGAGAACAACGCCGGACCGATCGGGAAACAGCCGCCCATTGCTCGACCAACGGCACTCACGAGTAATGGCAATGGCGGAAACAATGTTAACAATGGACCAACTAACGCCGGCTCTTTGGGCGGTCTTCTTTTAGACCGACCCTACAGCAACGGCTTGATATCATCTAACTCGACCTGCACCTCCACTTCGCCTTCGTCGTTTGACACCAACAGCAGTGTCATCACGAAACGTTTTAGTTCGGCCAACAGCCTTGGCCCGTTTTCGACGACGATTAGCGATCTTAATTTGAACGGCATGAACGCGAATCCTTACGAAAAATGGAGCAACGGAGGTAGCGACGCTTATCCGGTCGTTACCACGAACGATCACTTTCCGATGCCAGCATCCGTCGCCGTTGCAGCAAACGCCGCGTCCGGCGATTCCGTTCTCGATCTGACCTCGAAACTAATGTCCGCCGCCGCGATATTTCCACCTAAATCACAGATCAAACGGCAAAAAATGATCTATCATTGTAAATTCGGGGAGTTTGGTGTCATGGAGGGTCAATTTACCGAACCATCGGGAGTCGCTGTGAATGCACAGAACGACATCATCGTTGCGGACACGAACAATCATCGCATTCAGATCTTTGATAAAGAAGGCAGGTTTAAGTTCCAGTTCGGAGAGTGCGGCAAACGAGACGGCCAGCTGCTCTATCCGAACCGAGTAGCTGTGGTGAAAACGTCAGGTGACATAATCGTTACCGAACGTTCGCCGACTCATCAGATACAAATCTACAACCAGTACGGTCAATTTGTGCGTAAATTTGGAGCGAACATTCTGCAGCATCCACGGGGTGTGACGGTCGACTCGAAGGGGCGCATCGTCGTCGTCGAGTGCAAAGTGATGCGCGTGATCATCTTCGACCAAGCCGGCAACGTGCTTCAGAAATTCGGATGCTCGAAGCATCTCGAGTTCCCGAACGGTGTGGTCGTGAACGACAAACAGGAGATATTCATCAGCGACAATCGTGCCCACTGCGTGAAAGTGTTCAACTACGAAGGCGCCTATCTTCGGCAGATCGGCGGGGAAGGGATCACGAACTACCCGATCGGGGTAGGGATTAACGCAGTTGGCGAGATACTGATAGCAGACAATCACAACAACTTCAATCTGACGATCTTCACGCAAGACGGTCAACTGGTATCGGCTCTTGAGAGCAAAGTCAAGCACGCCCAGTGCTTCGACGTAGCTTTGATGGACGATGGATCGGTCGTGTTGGCCAGCAAGGATTACCGACTTTACATTTATCGTTACGTACAAGTACCGCCGATCGGCATGTAGAGCATCGACAAACCGCGACGCCGACGATGATCGTCGATCGTCGTTCGCATCGGTGTCGTTGTTGCCAGAGTTACAACGGCCACCAGACCAGGATCTCATCGATCATTTTTAATATTACACTTGCCTATCTTCTTCTTTGCCCACCTACCATCACCGCTCGTGCTCACTTTGCCTATCTACCTTCGCCCGCTCGACCCACCTTACTCCCGTTTAACGAGACGCCGATTACGAGGACCGATCTGTAAGCGCACACGAGCGAAACCAAGTGTTAATCGAGTTATCGAGACTCCATACGACAGGTTTTACACGGATACGCCCGCGTCTGTAGAAAATGCGCGGCAAGGAGGTAAAACAGGTTGCTACCTTAACGATTGGAAGCCCTGCGAGAAGGGTCTGGCAACCGGTGATCCGGACTTATCGGTTAATTTCGCGCACTTGGCTTTGTCGCGAGTCCTCGACAGGAGGATGCATGCGTTGAACGATTTCCTGGAACAACGGAGAAACAAAAATGAGGGAAAAAAGGAGAGAAAAGGAAAGTACCCGATGGTGAATTAACGCTCGCGTGACTCGTACGCATGCGTACGTGCACGCGCGTGCGCACGATAAGTTTATAGAGAAAAAGGATAAAAAAGTACCAGGCGATTTCGGGAACGCCAATTTTGTTGCGTGCGTTGGACGTACGGTCGCACGCGCCAATACTGAAAGCCACACGAGACGCGTAAGCGCGTACACGCGGAAAAACTTACTTGTTAATGTTGTTATATCTGAAAATACTGTTGTTGTTGTTTAGTTGTAGAGCTCGCCGCCGCTAGTCACTCCACCCTATCCTCCTTACCTCTCTCGTGCCTCCGTCCCCGTCCCTCGACAATCCTTTCCTAATCCGACCATTTTTCCACCCAGTTTTTTCTTTTTTACTTTCGTGCAAAACCTTCCTTTTTTCCTTTTCGATCGAAAGCAAACCGCGAGGGGCGTATATACACATATATTTTTCTTCTCATACGTCTCGGATGTATCACGTTCCTACACGTATTTTCCTGAAGTCGTGCAAACGAATGTATACCCGTCCGCTTCTGACACGGTTCTTCTGACTGTCGATTCTTTCGATTTGGCTTGGGACTTAAACTCGGCTTACTTATCGCTCGAACAAGAACAGCCTTCGTTCGTTTAACTCTGATCCAAAGCGAAAGAATTTTACCAATTTGACGTCGCTGGATCGCAGAGAATCGAGGCGCGCGAGAGCTTGTTTCGTCGCTCTCTCTCTGTCTCTTCCTCTCACGTACGAGTATATGAGTTCGAACAAACAAAAATAAAGATAGCACGAAGTAAGTACTCGATCGAACGACGGTGGTCATTTTTCAGGAACAGTATCTATCGGCGTCGTCCGTTTCACGACGTTTGTTTCAGATTCTCGAAGGATATTTCCAGTTAACGGACATCGGTGGTCCTTTCTCCTGAATCCTTTTCCTTTCTCCTCACACGTCGTTTTATTATTATTATTATTATTATTATTTCTTTTTTAAGTGGTTAAGCGAATATACATATACGTACGTGTTTTTTTCTTCTTAAGAATCAATGGAGATCCTTCTTGACGAAGCGTTTAGAAACTATGACAGTGACACAACAGTCCAGCATCGTTTTGTCCGTTTACTTTGACCTCTTCTTAGTTTCCTTTCATTTCATTTTCTTTTGTTTTGTCTTTGACAGATGCTTAAGTTTGTTTCTATCTTAGTACGCGCGTGATTTTTTAATACGCCTGTTGTTTGTTCCGTTTCCTTGACGATCGGTGACACAGAGACTTATAGTCCTCGTCACGAGAGAATGTTATATTTATTAATTATAAGAGGATCTTTACCACCTTGTGGTGCCCTTTGACCACTCCGTTGATCATACATAGGGTAGGAAAAGATATATGAATAACGAAAAGAAAGCCTATCAAATGAACGGATTATTGAATACGCATGCTTGGTTTCCCGAACATCGTTAGAACGCATGCGCGAGTCAGAGCCAATCAGAGCTATCATATGCGCGTTTGAGCCAATCAGCGCCAATCTGCGCGGAACGAACGAAAACTCGTCCTTCGAGTAATACATTCTCTCGTAGTGAGGATTATATATGCCGTGAAGACTGATGAGAAACACAAACACGTTGATTTTTTATTCAAATATGAATTTTTCTTATAGGAGTTGACTTTCTTTTCTTTTGCTCATCTTCTTCGACCGATCTTCGGGGTAACTTTACAAAAATGTTTGATCGATGAATAAAAGAAAAGGATCAACCTCGCTCATCGATCAAACATTTTGTTTCTATTATTCCTTTGATCCGATCTTTAATCGTAGTGGTGTTAACGTAGCGAGTAGTCGTAGTGAGTTACAGTAACGACGTAAGGAATTTTAGTTTTCCTGTGCCTGCTCTCTTCATTCTTTTTTTTTTTTTTAATTTGCATATCTGCTGTAATTTTGAGTACCATCTTGCCCCGTCAAAATTACATCAACACTACCACCACCACCATCTCCGTCTTCATCCAAATTGTCACTATTATTATTTACTTTGCTATTTTACATATCCAAAATTGTGTATAATTTCTTTAGTACCATTGAGTAAAAACAATTTGTGTTAGGATCTTTTTGAATTTGATTGTATATTATTAATATATATTTTGTTGGATGAGTCGACGATGAAAGGAGCCACGATAGCTCCATGCATGTTTGCTATTAAATTTTTTTAATAGTAAAATTTATTATTATATTATATTATTATTTTTTATTATTATCATCGTCATTATCATCATTACCATCAACGACATTATTATTATTGTATGTATGTGTGTATGTATGTAGGTATTATTATGATTTTTATATATTCATTTATTAAGTGCCTCGTCACCAGGGGTCACAAAAGCGTTACAATGTTTTTTAAAGCATATCTCTGATAAAACCAGAACTATTCTGAAGAAAGTGTTGTTTGGTATATAACAAGGCTAGCTGGCGTTCGTTCGTGTTAACAAACTAAATTCGCGAATTATACGAGGATGTTTCAGGATAGTAGAAAGTTTTCTAGCAAGTCGAAATTTAACCCTTGAACGACGGCTCACCGAGTTACTGACAATCCAAGGACGAATCTACAACCCTTGCTTGGAGGAGAGGACAAAATATTTGAAATTTATTTATAACTTATTTAGTAACATTATATGATAGTAGAAATTTGGAATTTTAGGAAGCGTGGAAATTCTAAATTATATTTGCAATGTATTCACAAAAGTGTGAGAAATTGTTAAAAGCAAATTTAAAAATTATTCATGGGTCACGATTGACCCGGCTCCGTCGTTCGAAGGTTAACTAACGTACCTTTGAACTACCCGGAAGTTCTGGAAAGTCTTCCAGCCAGTCCACAATTTCCGGGTGACAGAAGTAATATTTGATATCAAATTCATTGGATTGTTGAATCGACAGTTGCTGTTACAGTTTACGAACCGTTGTTATATTTTTTCCTCTTTTCGACGCCTTTTATTTTTTATCCCGTTTAACGATAATAGATGTTTTATTTGTTGAAATGGCGAGTCGCTCATAAACTGAATCGGCAACTATCTTTTCCGATAAAACGAATTGAACAGGATTAAAAAAGAAAAAAATATTTTGTACAAATACTTCGAGAAGATAAATCAACGATTAGGAAAGATTTCTGACGAGGTTTCATTCGTGGAATTTAGATCGTTCGCATTAGATATTAATAAATTAAATTAGGGTAGGTGATTAATAAACGAAAGATCGAGCTTCAGTCTGATAATTGACTGATTCTATTACATACTCTTTACAAGTAAACATTCTAATTGAAAAAGAAAAATGGACTAATGCTATATGGAGTGACAAGGAAATAGATATCCAAACTTTGGTAGTGTATTAGAACCTCCTGAGAATGGGAAAAGCTCTATATAAACGTGCATTTAATCCAAGGGTAATGAAACTGTCTATCTTCTCAAAAAAAGTGTGATCTTCAAAGTAGTTTCATTGAAAAAAGAATTTAGAATCCTTTGTGACTTTCATTCCATCTAAACGACCAGTTTTCATTCTTAGAAGAAAACTACACTACCAAAATTTACTCACCCCTTTTCTTGTCATTCTATGTACTTCCGTGCTGTGAAATAAGTTTTAAGCTAATTTTTTTTACACTCTACCCACTCTCACAAGGCAAACATGAAAATCGTAGAAAGATCCTCGATAATTCATCGTTAATTAAAAATATTTAATCGAGGTTCCCAAATATCATTTGTCATAATCTTTCGCTTATTCATTCGAAACTACGAGACAATGATACCGGTTTCTTTCGTTGTTTCTTCTTGAGAAAAAAAATATGGAATCGTTCGGTTAAACGATGCCAATTTGATTCTTCAGAAAGCAACGAAGATATCGGTTCATTAACATCAAAGAGATTACAATTAAGATCCTGTAATCTTGTAGTAATTATGTAGTAATATGCAGTATTGTAGCTAGATTTCAAAAGAACGTCAGAAAGAATGATCGAGGAAAGGGATCATCCACTGGAAACTCATTTTTGGAAACAATTTCACTGCCAACTATGATACTTAATTTTTTCGTCGGTCCTAGTAAATTTTTCTGTATCTAGAGAATGATCGAAAATTTCGAACCCTCTCCTCCGAATAATGTACATAATCGCATCACGACGTATCTGTCCATTAGTATTTAAAAATCGCGTATTGCTGTGTTGATTCAGTTATTAATATTATTATTCGTATTATTATTAGTATTTTATTTTTATTAACTTCACTATTATTATTATTACTTACTATTACTATTATTAAGGATTAATTACTGTATTATTAATATTATTTACGTTCAGTATAATTTTATATCGTTAGGACAAGTGAAGAAGAAAAAGCTGAAGAGAAATGATGATGATGCTACCTTGCCAGCTAGCCAATCAATTACATTGTTGACAGAAAATTTGGAAGCATTTTGTCAAAATTTAATATTAACCATACACTGAGGCTCGAAAATCATTTCAATATTAGTTGAATAGAAATAAATCAAATGCTTTAATGAAAAACATATTTAATAGAGAAATTATAAAGAAGGTAGTTGCTAGAATGCCAAAATTAGTAGAAGCTTTAATTATTATTAACAATTTTGGTAATGTTTTGAATAAATTATTGCATATGAGTAATTGTACAAAATATATATGAAAAAGACTGTTTTCTTTTAAATATTTTCAATTCTTTTAGCCTTTATGAAATTTTAACAACTGTTACATGATTTTTGAGCTGAAGTGTATTATTTTTGGTAAAATTTCAACTATCTTTTCAATTTCTTGCTGTAATGTACAAATCCATAGACTCAAATTTTCGTTGCTTTATCTGAAAATAATATGGAGGTGCTTCCAAAATTTCTGTCCATATTGTACATCGCTACCATCTTTTTTTTTATTTTCTTTGCCACTCGCAGTGTTTATTTTTTTTTCTAAAGAGACGCGCAAAGAAAATGAACAAACGGTACCACTTTGATATGCATTATTTCCAAAGTAAGGAACGAGGTGTACATGTGTGTGTCTGAGTGTTTCTTTATTTTTTTCTTGATATGCGCGCGCTCGAAACACAAAATGAAACGAACATGCGACTATCTCTCTCCTCTATTATTTTTTTTATACTGGTTTGTTATGTTATTATTTTTAGACGATACAACCCAATTGTTCTTAATTTAAATGTAAATCGTATTTTTGTTTGTTTTTTTAGTTATTTTTTGTTGTAAAATGCTTTTTAATAATATTTTCAGTTCACACTATATTACATCGTTTGGTTTTCGTCTTGTTTTATTTATTTCTTTTCTTCTGTTTCTTTCTTTATTTTGCTTTCTTCTCTCGTCCGTCATTCGTCCTCTTTCATAAGCCTTAAAGTTCCTATCCTGAATGTTTGTTACCATAGTTAAATTTGGAAATATTTTTTTTTTTACAGAGAAAAGAGTGAATAATTATGCAGCTCTGAATTTCAAATAGAATTTTGAAAATTCGTTGTTTCATAAATTTAATTACAGGGTTCAAATTAATATACATAATTAATTAAAAGAAAACCTTTGGATGTGAGAGTACTTTTAAAGCATCGAATTAGAATTTTTCGCACGATCTAGAAATTTAATTAGTGCTATGTTTTGTTTTATCATAGTTTGTTAATTAATGCACTGTCTGTCATGACGAAAATTGCAATGTTTAGAAAATATTTGAAGGAATAGTGTACAATTTTGCAAAAGAACAGAAAATTAAATTTCAATGCATGTGTCTCATTATCAGTGATTCAAAAGCTAAAATTTAGTTTTAATTCTATCTTTCATTCTCTTGGCAGTCAATGTATTAATAACAGCCTTCCGACTTATTGTTTGTAACACACCTTCCTTGTAAATTGGATTGCCATTGTTCAAATGTTACATTCTTGTTTTGACTTTTTCAGTGTAGAATAGTACTACAAAACCTCGAATGTTGCAACTGAAAATACATGTTACGGGTATGCAAAAGTTTCCATTGTATTCAGAATACAAGTGTTTTATTCTGTAATTTAAACTTTCTACTCGATTCCTTTGTTTTATTCATGAAAGAATTACAGATTTTTTTGAAAACATAAGAAATTGAAAACTGTACCAACGAACTTCTACCCCTTCCGGGCTCTATGTAAGCTTCAACATAAACATAGTATAGTGAGTTGAAATGAGTTAATAATGTGGAAAGTTCTTCATACCTATAATTTTGTGTAAAAGCATCACGAGTTACTTAAATAGCGAGAAAGGGAACGGAAAGAATTCGTTTTGATGCTTATTACGATAGTTGAGACCCTTTGGAATTTCAAATGGACACGTCGCTGAGCTCTCACAGTCAGCCTTATTTCACGCTTGGTTACCATTGGTTGGATCTCCCAGGAAAAGGAATGCACGTCGTGAACGGAGAACAACGACGATCCAGAAACGCGAAATGAGACACTAGAATGCTTCCAAAAAGAATCATTTGTTCCCTTTCAATTTTTCATTTTTTTTCTTAATTGACAGACTGATTCATTTAACTAGTATCAACGCGTTAACCCTTTCAGGGATGTAACATAAGCATATACAATCACCTTCCATTATTATTTCTCCAAGACATTCAATCTCATTCCTGCCCAGTCAAGTTTACCCGTATAATTTATAAAATGCAAAAGGTAGAAAAAAATGTTTCGAATAAAAGTTTGCACAAATTTTTATTCCAAATATTTCTTCACTTATTAGGAGTTATGTATTCGCAATAAGGTACGATAAACGTTCACTGGAATTTGAGGGTAGTTTTTATAAAAATGTACTCCTCAAGACTTACAAAAATTGTTCATCGCTGAAAGGGTTAAATACTGCATTGGAAAAGTAACTTTTCCAGTTTTATTTGTTCAATTGAAACTATAGTCGAATCGAAAAAAGAAAAGCAATTTGCCCGAAATTTCACGACGCTCGGTGTTAATTGCCGGAGAATTAATGATAACGAAAAAAAAAAAGAAAAAGAAAAAAGACGAGTTTTTAGAAACCTATAGCGGATTATAGATGTTGCATAATATATTTTTGTACATTCGCAATGTGCGTTATTTATGGCGGTGTCATTGAGTGTCGTCGAAGATCGGGCAACGTACCGAACCGGAAACGGGGGGAAGAGAAAGAGGAACGCGACGAAGTGTGACACAAAAGAACATTTTTCTCTGCGATAACGAAACAAGGAACTTGCCATACGAACGAGATACCATCCGATAAAAAACCATCTTTCAATTTTCCAAGAAAGAAATTAATTTTGGTTTTTTGAATGATATTAGCGGCGCGCGGCGACTCTGTATGTAATCAAGAAGGAAAAAAAAAATGAAAACAATGAAAGCAAAAAGTTAATACTATCCCCGGGCCCAAGTAATGTTACTTTATGAAGAAAAAAAAAAACGAACAACAGAGAGACGATTAAAGTGAGATGATGTGGAAGAGACATTGTCGAATGAAAGAAACGCGTGTCTGTCTGGTGCATGTGTCAATAATTAAACGAATGAATGAGTGAAAGAACGACTGTGCATAAATAAAAGAAAAAAAAACGGAAGAAAAAGGAAGGGAATATCAGAAAGTCAGATTGTGTGATTGCAAGACGCTATTTTTAACTTGGAAACGAACAAAAAAAAAAAATAATCATTCCAGATATTGTTGCATGCCTAGTTATCGTATTATATAGTCGATGAACGACATTTTAAACACTGGTGAAATATTACACGATTGTAACGAACTAATGATTAAAAAATAATAAAGAAAGAACCGACGAAGCCCTTCGTGTTACAAGTACGGTTTCAACGGTGCCAATCGGTTGTTTCTTAGGACGTTAAGTGGTATACACGTATTAATTACTATTGTACACGTATATCATTGTGATTGTCATTATTATTATTATTGCTCTCGCAATTAAAATTAATACGATGATACATGAATACACATACACACAGACACGTACACAGGATGTGTATTGATTAAAAATAACCGAGGTAGAGATTGAGGAAGTTTCGAAATGATCAGTCCTGCTCTTTGATTCTGTGAATCTTTCTAATTGAATGATCACGATAGTCATCTTTGTTAATATTGATCCTTACTATGTAAACGTGGGTCATACGTGTTTGACGAAAAAATTCTAATTAAAATTTGTAATAGCATTGGCGTAATTAGAGTGGGTGTAATCAAAGGAGACCCAATCCCATCTTTCTTATCAGACATCATTAGAATATGTAATAAACCAGTCAGTTTTTCAAATAAAATTTTAAATTAATAGAAATGGATGTCTGGGTCAATATACGATATGCAATGTAGGTGCTTAATTTCAAAATATAAAAATTTATCATTTTTTTAATGTGTCATATAATAAACATAATATCTTTGGGATTAACTTAGACAAAATTGACCCCCGTTTACAGACGGATTTCCGAGGAAATCATGAAACTGATCATCTATTCTAACAATAAGACAAGTTGCGTACAATTCCAAACGATCGATGGGATATTTTTTATTATGTCGAACTACCGAGCTAAAAACGGTATCACGTTGATGCAGGATATATGTCTTGTGTATTTTGCACGTTTTAGTAAGTACATTTTACGTTCTGAACGATCGTGAAATCGTTGCAAAATACATTTCGTTGAAAATATTGCATTCTTGTACATAGAAATATCAGATGACGTTCGTTGATTGGTAAATAGAATAAGATTCGCGGATAAATAGGATGTTTCAAAAGACATACCGAGTTGAAATTTAAACTTTTACATCTTGCTAGATATTCATAATTGTGTTTATGCAATGAAAATTATATAAATTTTACTTTGAGTTTTAACTCATTCAGAGCGAACGCAAACCCTTGAGATCATAACGAAATTTTAATCTCTAAAAATTTCACTCTGTATCTAAAACATTTCATCTGCAATTTACAGATTCAAACTAAAATGTGTAATTTAAATTTCGACTCGATAAGGATCAGAGAAAACGTACAGCGATCTGTTTTTTCTCGATAAATCTGCCTATCTGCCTGTCTGTGTCTGTCTGTTTGTCCGTTTCTCAGACAGTGTGACAAGAGTATAAATCTTTCTTTTTTTCTTTTATATATATTCTTTCCCGTTGAAAATCAAGCAGTGAACGATACGATCGCTATTTTCTTGGAACAAAACACGTTGGGATCCTGACGTCCAGGGAACTTAACGATGATGGCTCCTGGTTTCGATTAAGATTAAACTATTCGCTGAGAGCACGCGGCGTTATTTTTCTCAAGCTCGAGTTGAGAAAATTTGTCTGCTTTTCGGCGGACGGAAGTGAAAGAGAAAGGCGACGACTCTCGTTTTTAGTGGTACGTTCGTCTTTTAACTCGGTCCTTTCTCGTAAACAGGATGCGTGTAACAGAGATGAAAGGGTTGTAAGAAGGGTCGAATAGGGTTTTATCGTAAGATCCGTTGATTTGTATAGCCACGTAGCACGGTGTGTGTCGTAAGTTAAGGTAATATTTCGTAGTTATAATGTCCGTTTTTAATACGTAGCTTACGAAAGTGGGGATGAAAGAGTGTTAATAAGGGTTTTGGCTCTCGTTTCTGAGCAAATGTACGAAACGCGTTATACACACGTTATTAATTACGGTAGTCATAATCAGTCTCCAGTATTCCATGATGTTTATATGATATCGTAATCGTTAATCGCATCACCCCTCTCCCCCTAACCCCCCGCCCCGCGTGACGATTTTTTATTTTTATCAAAAAGAGTAAAAAAAAAAACGGAGAAGGCTAGTTGTAGGTGTATCGAAGTTTATAATTGAAAGTAAGGTAGACACGACATTAAGGAGGGGCTTTCGGCCGATTTTTTATGACGTCGCTCTATCGTCTTGTTATTTATTATGCCATAAGTCGTGAATAAGGGAAAAGGTAAAAAAACATTGTACGCTGTATCTGATATACGATTTCAAACATCTAGTCATGGCCTCTTTATGATTTAAATATTGATTCGCGTTGAACGCTGTGGTTGAACGTCTTAAGTCATCGAATAATAGGACGTTTCCATGCGGAATGAATAGTTTATCGACAGGGAGCAATTCTGTTAAAAGTTGATGCACCGTTTTTTAAACATTTCGCGCATCGTTGTGACGTCATCGTTCTCACTGATATAATTACTATTTATTTATTTATTTATTTATTTATTTATTAAGGTATGTGCTAAAGTTCTACACGCTTTCGTCTTAGTACTTAATCCGGTTACCCATTGATATTTTATTTTGAAAACGTATGTAGTACAAGAGTGAGGATCTCGCAATATTTTTACAGAAATATGAAAAATTGTTGAACGAATTATAGAAATGGGTAGCCGGGTAATCACGTAAGGATAACATATCTTTTTTTGTGTGTGATAATGTTTGTTTTGACGTCATTGGTCATTGTTTCGTTTGTTTTTTCGGCTTTCTTTGACGAGACGCACGTGGTGTGTCAAGGGACCTGGCTGTCGACGCACCACGTGCGTCACTGAGTAATGTGTATTTATTTCATAAATGAGGATACTATTTAAATAAATTTTAGTTTATTGGTATACTATATTAACAGTATTAACAGAGAGGAAACCAAATTAATGGAATAAATAACATGACATTGTTAACATTGTTTTACATAATTACCATTAGTATCTATAACATATTGCCATCTTCCATTTTCTAGTCAAAAAATTCTTTTTAAGGCAAAAAGCACAGAATGTCTAATTTTAGCCATATTGCTTGCCATATTATTCATTTACTTGGTGCTCTTTTATTTTATTTACTTCTCAAAACATTTAAGACATCGCATTGTCATCTGTTATTGCACTTATTATTGATAATTTTTATTTGGAATTTCCATAATGAAAAAACGGGTAGAACTTATGCACACACCTCCTACTATTATTAAGTTATCAAGTTACTTTTATTGTCATTATTGTCATTCTCATTTTTATACTCATTATTATTATTATTGCTATTACTATTTAATATAATCGTATGACAAGAACAAGTCAGCAATGATATTTGCCAAATGCTATTTTAATATTTTATTATTATCGTGATTATTATTGCTTGTATTACAAATATTATTATTATTAATATAATATTTATGAATTTCTATTTATTTAGTAATAAGTTGGGGTAATGTTTTTAATAATACCTCGCGATTGTACTTATTTACCTTATAATGTATATTTATTATTGATTATTGGTGATTATTATTGCTATTACTATTACTATTATTATTATATGATTATCATAATTCATCGTCGTGGTCGTCATTATTGCTACTACTACTATCATTATCATTACTATTGCTACTACTATTATTGCTACAACTATCATCATTAATACTATTATTATTACAGGGATGGATCGAGAAATTTTGAAATTTCTTTATGGTTTGTTCTATTAACAATTTTAATAAAAACAGATTACTTACAGTGGGTAAGATTAAATAATTAATTTTATTTAAAAAACAAAAAATAATTGTACAAATTATATAGGTACTGCATTAAGGGAGATAATTTTATTTTCTTTTATAAATTAATTTTGTTAAAATTTCACAGCTCCCTGGATCTGTCCTTGTATTATTATTAATTACCATTGTGATCACATCAAGTTGCTATCATGATTGCAGTTGCCAGTCATTCTCATTAATGTCGCCATATATCAAATATTTACTTATATGTATATATATACATTTGCTGATTGATATAAAGCAGCTATAACTACAATGTATGATATATAATATCATGTATATAATGTGTATGCTCGCGCATCCGCATACCTATTATATAAAAATCTTCATTAATTAGTATTATACATATACATATATACGTACGTACATGAATAATATTATTAATATTGCTATTATTTTATCATTATCATCATCATTCGTCATTATTATTACTAATATTACAACTACTATCATTATTATTAATTATTATCATTAACGCATTGATGTCGTATTTTATCAAGAAAGTTGAATGCGAGAGGCACATGTGGAAGGTGATGCATTGTTTAATAAGTTACATAAAAAACTGATATAAAAAAATGAAAAATACCAAAAAATTACGATTAAGAAGCGGAACAAAGTAAGAAATAATAGTTAGGGTCGTTTAAACGCGGTTCGGTTGAGAAGATATATATGTATTTTTTTAAATTTTAACGCTAATTAATGTATAGGAATGAGAAACGTGAGCTGTGCGGGAATCGAGTGTAAGGTGTAATTAGGGGAGGGGGGTCGGGGAGGGGGAGGGCAGGATAATTTATTTATAAACAAATATTAAAGTCTGGGAACAGAAATCTATTTGTAGATTATACATATATGTTTTTCTTTTATTTTTTCTACAATTACTATTACCATTCTTATTATCGTTATTAAACTGAGGTATTTTTTACCGTGTATCGACGATGTTGCATGCGAAAGAGTTGATGACACAAACGTTTCAATAAAACAGCCGATCATATTTGGCGTCCTCCTACTGTCTTCAACGTGCTAGTCCACCGATGATGCGATATCAAATTTATTTCTTTCCAAAATATTGGACAGTTGTGATCGTAGAGATACATATAAGTATAGAGTACGCATTACAGCGCACATTACAAAAGGGTTCCGTCTCAAAAATCGTCCCTATTCCCA